GGTAGAGCGCTATCCTTGAGCAGAAGAGCTGAGGGACAGTGCCCAGACCCAGAGTTCAGGCCCCACGACTGGACCCAAAAAATAAAAATTAAAATAAAAAAGAGAAACTAAATCAATCAAGTTAGAAAATGGGAAACAAAAAGTGATGCCCCAACACTATAGGACAGTAGCAAATGGTCTAGGATATTCCCAGCCCCGGCAGGGAGGGAGGAAAGAGAAGAGAGCAAAGAAAGAGAAGGAAGAAAGAGGAAGGAAATCTGAGGAGAAACAAATGGCTTCAAACCACAAACTCACAAATCTCAAAGAGATCTCAAGAATTTCCCACAAATAAAGAGCATACATATGCTATGTATACCATGTTAAAATGGTTCAAAATCAAAGATTTAAAAAAATGTTGATAACAAGGGAAGATGATCCAGACTAGTCACAGCTAATATCCCTAGCTCGCTCTGATCAGAGATTTGGATCCTAGCACACACTTACCTCAACAGAATGACATCAAGGAAAATATAAACAGATAGAGAATCACAAGAATGATGAAGCATTTATACAAGGACAGAAAACTGCCAAGTGCTCTCCCCCCACCCACAGCATGCGACCTTGGTCATACTGTGATTCTGACCAGCACAGACAGCAACACACCTGAAGGTCCAGAGTTACAGAAGAGGAACAGGAGACCACCACATCCAGATGCTGAAAACTTTCACCACAATGCTGCTGATCTGCTCAGAACCAACTCCAAGAACCGTGAGTACCCTGCCAGGGACCCCTCCCAAAAGACCAGTCCTGGTGGTAACCCAGAGTGCTTGGCCAGGACCCTCTAACCCTCACCTGAGAAGGGATGCCATACTGGAAGAGGGTAAAGAAGCTGGAGCCCTTTCTCCCACCCCTTCTGCAACTACCCACAAAATATCACCAGGACACAACCCCGTTCCTGAGCCAGAGAACCACAAGGTCTAGCAGACACTAGGCCCAAATCTAGGTCCAGATACTAGAACACTAACTGATCAAAAGTAAGATTGGAGATCCTCCCCACACCACACTGTAGGAACCAGCACTGCCCTTATCCCAAACCAGATCTGGACACTTAGAATGCTGCTTCCCACCTGGTCAGAACACTGGTCAAGATATCTCCCCACTCCAACCTGTGGGAGCAGGTCTCCACGAGATCTAAACTCTCAGGGTCTGGACCACAGAACACTGCACCCCACCCTGTGGAAGCAACAGACTGGCCAGAACTCAGGCCAAGGGGCCTTCTAAAGGAATCCACCTTCTCCAGGATGGATTTGGGCTAGGACTCTTAGACCATCATGCCCTATATTGTGGGAACCTGCCACCAGACCTAAACCCAGGCAGGCGGGATGCCAGACCACCCTGCCTCACCATGTGGGAACACAGCCTAATATCTGACCAGGACCTAACTGTTCGCGCCACCCTGGGCAGAAAGCTGCTAAACATAGTCTGAAAGAGATCCATCCAGTAAACTACGCCCCACCACCATTGAAGTTAATACATAATCTGAACAAGCCCTACAGTCCCTAAACCCAAAGGCATAAATCATACTGAAAGATCACAAAATCATGAGCAATCAAGATAACATGCCAATATCAAAAGCCAACAACAATCCAAGGAAGGACTCTAGCGAGAATGAAGAAGAGATGGAGAACAAAAGAACTATTAAAGCCATTGGCTGATGAAATGAAGGGCAGATCCAAAAACAAATAGAAGAACATAACAAGGAAATGACTAAGAATATACAGGAAGTCCAAGAAGGCATGGAGAAGAACATAGAAACACTACACACATCATTAAATGATAAAATTAACACCCTGAGAACTGACATCAACAAACAGCTTAGAACCATGAAAGGCTCTATCTCCTTATTGCAAAGCATAGTTGAAAGCATAGGCATTAGAATAAGTGAAGTAGAAAATAGGGTATCAGAAATTGAGAATAAAACAGAGGAACTAGAACAGAAAGTCAAAGGCATAGAGAAAGCACTCAGAACATACCAAATGCAAGCTCAAGAATTGGCAGATTCATGGCTGGGAAGGTGGCTCAGTGGTAGAGTGCTTGCCTTGCATGCATGAGGCCCTGGGTTTGGTTCCTCAGCACCACATAAGCAAAAAGCCGAAAGTGGCACTGTGGCTCAAGTGGTAGAGTGCTAGCCTTGAGTAGAAGAGCTGAGGGACAGTGCCCAGGCCCAGAGTTCAGGCCCCACGATCGGATCAAGAAAAAAAAAAAATTGGCAGATTCAGCCAAAAGATCAAATCTACACATAGTCAGGATAGACTAGGGAGAATTCAAAACCAAAGGCATTAAAAACCTATTTAACAATGGTTAGTATTTACACATCAAACAATGATATTTGGTTGATCTGTCCCTAGCTAAGAGTGGAGTGTTAAAGACTCACGCTATTATTGTATTGAGGTCTATCATGTTCTGTAAGTCCAAGAGTACTTATTGGCAGGCATCCAAAGATGTACCTGGGTTTCAGGAAGGGGTGAGAAGGGTGCACTTGTGTCATAGAGAGGTAAGCCATGGGGCTGAGCACCCAATCTCAGGTTCCAAGCTTAGGCCAGGTGCATGTGTGCATGTGTAAATACACCAGATGTGTGGGTGCGTACATGGCAACCCACACAGGTGCAGAGACAGTGCAAACTCACAGGCTGTCCCGGAGCTCCGGTGTGTCATTCGGTGTTCCCAGAGACTGTAAGCTCTCTTCCAAGGAGGTCACTGCCAGAGAAGAGAGGAAACAGGCAGCAGCAGGATCATCTGCCACTGTCAGACCCTCATGTTTGGTCATGGTGGCAGAGGCAGGACATGGAGGCCGGGAACTATGGCCAGCACAATGCAAACCACCTACACGACCTGGACATGATGTTTCCCACCCCTCCCAACAAAGGTCGGCCCAGGCAAGACCTTCTACTCTGCAATCCTAGGACAGGCCCAGGCCCAAATAGACCACAAAGAGCTCTTGGTAGCCACCTCTAATGGGCCTCACCCATCCCTAGGTCATGTCCCCTTCCCCAGCTTCAAGGACCTGCTCTGCCAGCCGCAGGACATGCTCCTCCTCTGCAGGGCCTTGTCCAGGCACACGTGCCAGAGAAGCCTGAAGGCCCAGCTGTGAACAGGCTGCTGCAGGGGAGCAGGGTGATCACAGAACAGCATACAGGATTAGCTCACTCTGCCCAAGAATGTGCCTCCCACACTAGAAGATAGCACGGCCTACGAACATAGGACTGGACTATAAGACAGCATGGGCAGAGCAAGACCAGCACTAGCATGGTTCTCAGTATCATCTCAGTGGACAAGTCCTGCAAGGGGTAAAGAAGGGCAGGCCCAGGTCAGAGCTCGTCATCAGAGTTGATTCGAAAAATGCTGGCCTGACATAGCTCCTAGACAGGATGGGGATCACCTGGAGCAGCTAAAGGAAGGCAGAACAAGGGTGGACACATGCTGGTAGATGCTGCCAGACAGACCAGGATCATCAACCAGTCAGGCCATTCCCAGCAGCAGGGCTCCAGGAACATTTTACCCCACACCTCACCCCTTGCCTTCCAGCTCAGGCTCCTTGGATTCAGGCACTGGGTCAGGGACAGAGGAGGAGGGCAGCTCCTCACATCATGCCCTGCCATCCCACTCCTGGGGACAGAAGCACTGAGGACTTGCACTCACACAGAACCTACAGGGCACTCAATGGGGCTCTGTTCCTGAGGGAGAAGATGTAAACCACCACATACCTGGCAACCAGTGAGCAGTGTGAAATACAGGGCTGGGCCCCTGGTAGAACACCAGTCAGCAGGAAGAGGAAGAAGTGCCTTCACATGCCATAATGCAGAGGAGCCCAAATGCACGCCACTTCGTGACAAACCAGGACTTGTCATTTACAAGTCCACAAAGACAGCAAGACAGGGCCTCCTGTCTTTGGGTGGGAGCCAGTCATTGCACAGAGCTAGAAGGTAGTGGTGACTGTACAATCAGCAAAACACACTGATGACTAGCATGCTTCAGTCAAGATAGTTAAGCTGGTAGCTTTCACATTAGTCAAGTTGTATCACAGTTTACTAATGCCACAGAAAATGCTGTGGTGACTCCCCAACCCTGACAAGGACACACTGATCAGGACACTCACATTGCTGGGGAGGAGCAGATGTGACGAGGCCATGGCACACCATCCCACACCCCAGCCAGCATCTGAATGCATGCACAGAGAAGCAAAATGGTCCACAAGAAACTTGTACAAGATCACTCAGAATCAACAGCTTTGTTCCTAAGATCAAAACCTGCAATGCCTGCAGTAGTAGGGAAGCAGGAACATGGACAGACACACGTGCTGGCAGCTGGGGCACACGAGAGGGTGAAGAGGCATGCACACCCCCCACACAGCAGAGCGCCTCAGGCAACTTGGCCAACCTCAGACTTATGCCACCAGACACTACAGTTCACAACCCCGGGGCTTCCAACTGTCACTAGCGATCTGTGATGCCTCTGAGCTGGGTTGGATAGAGCAGGCTGGACTCAGGGCCAGTGTCATGCTTGTACCTGGACAGGGCTGGGTGACACAGATGCAAACATTTGTCAAAATGCCCAGAGCAAGATCTGGGCAGCTCACTGTAAGTGTGACCTCAGAAGGGAAAGGAAAGTCAGGGAGCAGTGTATGAAGGAAGCATGCAGGGGATTCAGCAGATGGTGAGGCCCAGCCGGAGGCAGCCAGATGTGGGATGTGAAAAGGCAGTGAAAGGGCAGGACAGAATCCAGGCGTACGTGCGTGGCTAGTCACCAGGCAATGCATTCAGCTTTTTTTGTTTATAATTTTCCAAATAAAAGAACATGGTATGAAATCCCGAGGGGCCTTGGCAGGAGTACACTAGGGTGCTGGCTGGTCCCTCTGAATGCTCATGCTCTCTGAACTGGCCTGGGGTAGCCAATAGTAGAGCAGAGTGCCACTGCTTCAATCTGGCATCTGGTTCTTGCCAAGCAACGGGCCTCAAACCAGCTCCACTTGGGGTCACAGGGCTGTCTGGACAAGGCCAGAGCTGATCCCAACCTTGTCTGGGAGCAGACATACCTTTCCCACTGATACTGGGGCTTCTGAGCTCATGAATTCACAGGTACCCTGTGCCCCTATCCTAGGAGCAGACTACACATTTCCTGGGACACTTGTGATATGGCCATGAGGCTTCACCCTTACCCTCATTCTGCCCCAAATCAATGCCAATGAGCCCATCTGATCTGTCTTCTAGTGGTCAAGGCTGAAGCTTCACACCTACAGTCAATCTCCAAGGAGACAAGAGGAGCAGAACCTTCTGTGGAAGGACAAAGGGCCTTTCACATGTTAGTTCCAATGGGCCAGTCCTCACAATCAAGGCCTGGGCCAGACTAGGTCCCTCTGCTCCCTGCACTGATGGCATACACCTATCCCCAAGGCCACCTGCCCAGTTCCCCCTCACAAATGCTGCTCCTACCTCCCCTCCAGAAACTCACTGGTAGAGCTGGGAAGATGGCTCAGTAGTAGAGCGCTTGCCTTGCATGCTCAAGGCCCTGGGTTCGATTCCTCAGCACCACATAAGCAAAAACAAAAAAGCCGGAAGTGGCGCTGTGGCTCAAGTGGTAGAGCGCTAGCCTTGAGCTGAAAAGCTGAGGGACAGCGCTCAGGCCCAGAGTTCAGGCCCCACGACCGGACCCAAAAAAAAACAGAAACCCACTGGTGACTGCCTGCCCACCCCCACCCCTACTCCTTGTCCTGGGCTAGGAGGCTGTGGAACAAGACACTATTACTTCAACAATACCCTTGAAGAACAAGGAACCACAGCTGGAGGGAACCAGGGTCCCAGAATGGCCCTATGGAGCAGAGCTGCCCATGAGGCCTAGGTTTGGCTACAGCCCAGGAAATGAGTATTCTGTCTTTTTGTGGGTCTCTACAAACAGTGTAAGCATGCTGGCACTTGCTAGCACTAGAAACACAGAGCCCTGATCACCACCAGGTCACTTAGCACCAGTGGTCACCCACTGACATGGCAAGGTGAACAGCAACACAGGTACCTCACAGGTCCTAACTGAGCCTCAGAGGTCAGGACTGAGGGCCGAAGTGGGAAGGCATCTAGCTTGAGGTCAGGGGGAAGTTGAGGTTGTTCACCATGTCAGGGGATGAAGAAAGAAGAGAGCCATGGAGGGAGGAAGTCACCTCAGGTCAGCAGCTGCGGCTGCCATAAGGAGCCATAGGGTCCAGAATTACCCTCCTAAATCAACTAAAACTGGATGAAGTGCTGGAAGCTACTTTGAATGGTCATCATTCAGTGAGGTATTATAATTCTAAGAAAATGAGAAGCAAATGAGCTATACCCTAAAATGACTCCTTTGCTTGACAAGAACAGAAGAGGACTGAGCCCAGCTGCATCCTGAGGTTAGGAGGCTGACCAAGCCTGGAGTGTGGCACAGCACCACCTACAAGTGATGGCAGCTACCAGGGATGAGAAGTGAGGCAGACCTGTGCTTACCCAGGCCATGTATCAAGAAGAAAACGTGCTCTCAGAGCCAGACACTCCTAAGTTTACCCTGTGAGAAAGGAAGAGATATCCCTGAACTCCTGGAGCAGTCTGGGTCACTGCTGACCCTAAAGGATCATACTTCAGAGACAGGGCTAATCTAGTGCCAGGCTAAAAGGTTATCGGAGGGAGATTCTGAAGAATTTTAATACAATACTTGAAAAGATCAGAGTGACCTGTAAGTAACTTAATTACTCCCTGCCCAAGGTCAATCATCTCCACAGGAAAATAACTGAATCCAGCACAAATGGACACAAAGCCACAGTTCAAAACTTGTAGATAAATGAAGAAGTAGGTTAAGGTGAGCCCTGACCATGGGAACATGAGCAGCAGGAGCAGGTCCCAAGGTGACAGAAATGGTAGAGTCAGCAGAGGTCACCAAGCAGCTATGTGACATACTGACACAGCAGTTACAATGTGCTCAAGGCTGGAGAGGAAAACTCATGGGGTAAGCAGGGAATGGGGGTGCAGTAGGGAGACAAAGGAAACGCTGAGTCTGATGTTTGTCATCTCAGCTACTCCGGAGGCTGAGGCAGGAGGATCTCAAGTTTCAAAGTAAAAAAAAAATAAGAGGGGAATGTGGCTCAATAGCAGAGAGATTGCCTAGCATGTGCAAAGATAACTTCAATCCTCAGGACCATAATTTTTTTTTAAAAAAAGGAAGAATGTCACACTCATTGCATCACTTGAGATGATAGCAGTGTACATACAATGAAGAGCCAATGAACTTGAACACAAACAGAAGAAACAGGAAACAGAGACCAGTGAATGAATGCCCAAGGGCCTAGGCCATAGCTAATAGGGAAGCACCCATGCAAACCATCAGTCAAAAAGAATCTGGAGAAACAATGATCAAAATCACTCCAATTTTAAGAAACTACAAACTAAGAATTTCACCGAGAAGAATTCTAAAAACAAACAAAACCCAAGGCGCAATGTAGTCCAATTGCAGAAAACCAAGAAAAAGAAGAAATCTTCACCACGGAGAGGAAGATCTGTACAGGGCTCAAAGTCCCATCAGGAACCAGAGGCTGGAGGACAAAGTAGCCACACCTGTTAGCACTGAAGGAAAAAAAGCTTCCAATTGGACCCCTATTCCTAGTGAAAATACATTTCAAAAATAGAGTAAAGATTTATTTTCTACAAATAAAAGCTGAATCCGTTCCAACCAGATGTGTGCTGCAAGATGTGCTAGAATAAGTTATTCAGGTTAGAAGTACCAGTAAATGGAGACCTAAAAAAAGAGCTGAAGAAAGCTGGAATGGTGTTTAAAAAAAAAAAAGGTAAAAATAAAAGCATATCTTTTAAGCTAAGGATATAGCCCAAGCAGAATAACAGAATGCCTGCCTAGCAAGTACCAGGTCCTGGGTTCAAACTACAATACCACCAAAACAAAAAACAATAAAAAAAACCTTCCTTCTATGTATTTGTGTTTAAAAGACAATTGATGATTAAAGAAAAAATCCAAACAATGAGTGGTTAATAACAATGTGTGTGCTGCCTACAGGAGAGGTGGTGAACTGGGAAGACAATGACAGAGGCAGGACGGGCAGACAGGACACTCGTGCCAGAAGATTTCCTTTTATTTGAAGGCAGGCTGTGAGTGAAAGATGTATACTATAACCTCTAACGTGACCACTACAAACTAAACATAATTGCTAGGAAGCCAAAAATGAAGGCAAAATGGAATATTCAACATACTCAGTTACTCCAAAAAAGGAAGAGAAAAAGAAAAAGCAAATATCAAGAAGGCAGATTTCAGCAGACAGATAAACATGAACTGGCCAATCTAGGAGCCACTAGCTCCTAGTTTAGCAATCTAAACAATCTAAAGGTATAAGCTGTAAGAACTGTACATTCATTTCTTCAGCTGTAATAGCCACATCTCCAGTACAATTTAGCCACATCTGGAAAGTGGCTGATGTACTGGAGTACGTGTGACATGGAACTTCCCCCTGTTACCAAAGTTCCTATGAGAGAGCACAGTTTCAACCATTCCAATCAGAAAGCAGAGACTGTCCAATCAGGTCTATTTTAAAAAGCCTCCACTGGCTAGGCACAGTGGCTCACACCTGTAATCCCAACTACTTGGGAGGTTAAGACACAGAGATCACTATTTGAGGTCAGCTGGGGCAAAAAGTTAGCGAGACATGATCTCAAAGAACAAGCAGGAATGGTGGTTCACTCTCATAATTCCAGCTACAAGTAAAGCAGAGGTAGGTAAGGTCTACAGTCAACCAAAAAATACAATAAAAAAACATGAGAACCTAATTACAAAACAACTAAAACTATAAAGGGCTAGGCTGCAAAAAAGGCTAGACAAGCTTAGGGCATTTTATAATGGTAAATAGCTAACAGAGCAAAACAAAACAATTCTAAACGTGTATTTTCTAATAAAACACGAAGGTGAAATCACAAATCTATGATGAGAGTCAGAGACACAGACACTCTGCTCCAACATATGAGAGAACACAGGACAGAATCTGTGTGGAACCACAAATAACCAACACTTTTTCACTGGCGGCATGGAGCTTTGGTCTAGGGCTGAGGTTGCTTCCCCATCCATACACCAAGAAGCTCTGCACTGCAGGCCATAAACAAGTCTCCACATAGTCATGACAGCTGACATTATACAGAATTTGTTCCCTGAACACAACAGAATTAAACTGAAGATCAATAACACAAAAATATCTGTGAATATATAGCATTACTTGAAGCTAAACAGCACACTTATAAGTGGAATAAAACATCACAAGGGAAATTAGAAAGTATGTTTAACTGAAATGAAATGAAAACACATATTTAAATCTGTGTAAGTAAACCAATGCATAGAGGGAAATTTATAGCAATAAAACACTTCCACTAGAAAAGAAGAATGGTCCCAAATCAATGATGTAGCAAAAGCAAATTAAACCCAAAATAAGCAGAAGGAAGAAAGTAGAAAGCAATAAAGATGAGCAAAAATCAAACTGATTTTAAATAGAGAAAAAAAAATCAATGAAATCCAAATCTAGTTCTTTGAACAATCAATAAAATCAATAAGTTACATTAATTACATGAATTCTAATTGTGTCTAGGAAATAGATAAATACTAAAACCACAAAATTAAACCTGGCTAGTGAGGAACAAAGGAGCAATCCAGAGTAGCAGCACCAGAATGAAAGAAGAGTCAGCACTGCAGAGCCTACAGACACAAAGGACATCAGAAACACCAGGAGAAACTTCAAGCCCTTCATTTGAGAACTCAAAGGAAATGAATGAGTTTCCTGAGAACCCAAGAACTATACAACTCACTTGAGAAGAAACAGATATTGTCAACACATTGTGACCTGAAAAATAATGAACTTGTAATCTCCCACAATGAAAGTTCTAAGCTCAGGAGGCATGACATGGCATATTTACAGGAAGGGCAATACTAGTTCTGCATAAATTCTTTCAGAAAACAAGGGGAAATACTGCCCAACTCATTTCCAGCACAGTAGGTTGTCAGTTTAAATGACACTGGCCTTTGCATGTCTCAAATTCTCTCAGTGTACCAGTCCTTTCAGTCCCACATGCTGGCCCTGGGGCCTGAGCACCTACCCACACTTTTTCAAGGAACAGCCAGTATTGCCACCATGGAGTAGATATGAACAGGCATTTGGAGGACAGCTTAACTTATCTGCACCTGCCAGGGCCCTGGGACCACTTATACCTGGGTCATTCCTGCTCCCCAGTATGTGACTAGGCTCCACACTTACAGCTTTCTGGACCAGGTACCATGCCTATGCTAACTTCCATTGGCCTCCTCAACCATCAGATACCAAAAGAGCTGCTCTTTCTGGGGAAATGGGTCTGTCTAAATCCAGGGTGCTCCATTCAAGGCCCAGAGTAGGCCTGGGCTAACCCAACCTTGTAGATCTGCCTTCACTGGCACGGCAGGGCAGGACCCCCTGGATGGAGCTTTCTGCTGAGAATAAAAGCCACTTTCAGGACCAGCTGCAGTGGTCCACACCCATAGTCCCAGCTCCCTAGTTGGTGGAGGTAGGAAGACCTTCTGATGCAAGGAGTTAAGATTAGAATACCAAGACTCCCATCTCTTAGAAAAAAAAGTAAAATCAATCTGAAAACAGTATGCTTTATGCTGATCATAAAAACAGCCGGGCGCCGGTGCTCACGCCTGTAATCCTAGCTACTCACGAGGCTGAGATCTGAGAATCACGGTACAAAGCCAGCCCGGGCAGGAAAGTCTGTGAGACTCTTATCTCCAATAAAAAAAAAAAAAACACTAAAAACTGGAAGTGGCGCTGTGGCTCAAGTGGTAGAGCGCTCACCTTGAGCTGAAGAACCTAGGGATAGCGCCCAAGCCCAGAGTTCAAGCCCCACAACCAACAAAAATAAATAAATAAAAACAGTATGCTCTATACTGGTCATAAAACCAACTCAGCAAGTCTCAATGAGCAGGACAGGCAGGGGAAGGAAGGGCAAGAAGACAACACTGGGGTTGTTGCAAGTGTGAGCAAGAGGCCTAAAGTGCCCATACCTCAGCTGTGTGCCTACACTGGGCTGACATTGCAAACGGGCTTCAAAACCACACAAATGGTATGGTCCAAGAGCTTGTGCAACTGTAAGAAGGGAGCCGTATCCCCAGCTCAGCTCAGCTCTGGGGCAATGCGGGAGGGGTGTGAGCTCACTTCAAAAGGGTCTGTAAAAATGTTTGCACGTGTGAACAGATGGGCAGCCAAGTGAATGAGTGGAGCATAGACTGATGGAGCAAGAACATTCAGATGGTGATGGATGAGGAGGGTGAGGAACCGAGGAGAGAAGCCGCTGGGGACGGGGAGAGGGTGGGGTAGCCCAGGCTGCCTGGCGGAGGCAGCCATCTTCCTGGCACAACAGTAACAGCCTAGTGGGAAAGGAACTCACCTCTGGGCAGCTGGAGGCCATGGCCCTCAGGGGGCAGGGCCTGGCAGGAGAAGGTCTTGGCCACTGCCTGCTCCACAGGTGTGAGGGTCAGGGCCTGCAGCTTGTTGGAGGCAGGGCCGGAGCTGGGAGCAGTCTTAAGGAGGTCGCCCAGCTTGCGCCGCACAACTGCACTCAGGTCCCGCCATTTATGCTTCAGGTCCACCACATCTCGGTGGCAGTAGCCCAGAGCATTTACTGACTGCAGGATGCGACTCCACACACAGTACCTGCAAGTAGGCTCAGCCTTCAGCAGCCCTGTGCCAAACAGCAGCTGGTGGTGCTTACTGACCTTGGATAATAGCACCTCTGTCTCCTGTGGGCAGAAGTTGGGCTTCCTCTTCTTAGCCCAGGTGGTGCTGGATCCTGACTTCCGGCCAGTGCCAGTGGCAGGCAGTGAGGTGGGCTCCTGACTACCTTCAGGAGAAACTCCAGGCCCTGGAAAGGAACCAAAAGGCAAGTGTTTAAGCCTAGACTCCAGGAAGACCCACAGTTGCCAACTCCCAGCCATCACACTTCCTTCATGTGTTTGCAGAGACCCAGACCCAAGACCCCAGTTCAACCTTGCTCACACCCACCAAAGCCCTGTATTCTGAGGCACAGTGCCCCACCACCAGCGGCCCATGTGCCTTTCACAGCCCCCTGAGGACAGCTCCTACCACAGCCCTTGGCTGGGGACAGCCCTGCCAGCCAACAGGCCATAGCACCACGCACACCTGCCTGCCAACTGCACAGCCTCTCAAACCTGGGGGGAGCTGGCCTTGGCTTCCTCACCTGTGCATATGCAGGGAGCAGGCAGTGCGTCCATGACCTTCCAGCTCACAAGTACTTTGGTGTGAGCCCCCAAACATCACTAGGCTCACCCTTCTCTCATGAGCTTTGTCCCAACTAGACTTGGCTTCTGTAGGCAGGAGCCAGGTCTGCTGCCACGATATGGCTCTGCAGGGCTGAAGATGAGGGTTTCTCGGTCGGGAATAGAGCCCCAACACTAGATGACACCCTAGGGACAGCAGAGGAATGTCTAGGCCCACTGGGGAGCAGCAGCCCTGCTCTCCCACTCCAGCTTCCTTGGAATTCCAGAGAGGCCTCTCTGGCAGTAGAGATGCCACCCAGGGCATTGCAGCTATGCCTCCCAATCACACAACAGGGACCTGAATTCCCTCTCAGCCTGCTGCCCAGGGATAATTCCAACTCTGGGGCAGGCAGCGGGACCATATCTGCCAGTACAGACCTCCAGGCATGAACTCTCCTCAGTTGGTCCTGGTAGGCAGAGCCTCACCCCCATGAACCTCCAGGGTTCTGATGGCAAGGATCATCACAGGTTTCCCATTCAGCCCTGCTGCTGTGGCTGCAAACTCTGCCCTGGCCTCCTTCCTCACAGCTAATGCTACACCATGCCCTGACCCCTTTGGCAGGGCAGTCACTCCCTCCTCCATGCTCAGAATCTCTGAGGGTCCTTCCCAGGTAACTAAGACCCAGCATCCAAGTGGAGGTACCTCGCTTCCTGGCCCTTGAGCTTCTGGTGGTGCCAACCGGCCCCAGATCACCTTTCCCCTCCTTCCCCACTCAGACCTCCTGTGGACCGCTCTCTGGCGGTGGGCAGGGGAAATGGCAGATTCCATATTCGGTCCAACATCTACAGCAAGGGACAGTTACAATTACTCCCAATCTGTCTGCGCAGCTAGGGGCACTACTGGGAGTCAGGTCCCATATAAGGGTACCCTGGGCCCATCTTCTCCAGGAAAGTGCTCCCTGCCTGCTATACCTCCCAAATGCCTCCTTTTGTTGAACACCACAATCAAGTCCAGAACTCTAGATATTCTGAATCTTTTCTAGAGTACAGTTCTTCTGAAAGGTAACCACAAACCAAGACAAGTGCCTAGACCAGGGCTCTCAAGTATGTCCTCAGACAAGGCCCTCAACAGTGGCTCCAGTCTACAAGGAAGAGCACAAAAGGGAAGGCTCAGCCTCCCCATCACACACATTGCTACAACACTCCATCAGGATCAGTCCGTGTAATCAATAAAACATGCTTCCATGGCATGGAGGAGAAAGATGAGGGCTGAGAAGTGCCTGTGTGCAGAAGCCTGCATCTCCTGCCATCACCACCCAGTAACACAGCACACCCAAGTACAAGCTGGGACCCACAGGGACTATGTCTTAATTTGCTCTGATCATTTTCTGTTGCTCAAAAGACATGGCTGGACACCTTCATTGAAATTTGTAGAACCTAGAATGCATCTTATAAAACAGTTGCCACCTCTAGCATCAAGATGTGCCTTTCAGTCCAACGGAGCCAATGGTGGGCAAGGTATGCCAGGCCACTGAATGGAGTCCCCATCTGCCTGTCTACATCCTGCTCTGCGGGGACATGCCATACACTTCCTGAGGAGCAATGCCCAAATATCTATCCCCTAGACAATGGTGCTGCTGGATTAGAAGCCCTTCTGACCTCATCAGTGGGTTTCTGAAACTTCCAAGACGGTGTAGCCACACTGGCCATCTCCATGCTGAGCTCTAGGAGAAGCAGTTCTTGGGGAAAGCTCTTGTGCAGACCCCAAGCCCTTGTCTCCCAAGAAAGGGAGAGTGGAAGGACATTGTGGTTATTAGTCTCTCATTAGAGAGACTAATGTAGAGCTGGTGAAGATCTTCTCCTATTCTGCAGCCATCTCTTCAGCCTGGTTACTACACCCTTTGTGCAGAAGCTTTTCATTTTGATGGGATCCCATTTGTCAATTCTCCCTCCTCCAGTGGTTGAGGTTCTATTTAAAAACACTGTCTATGCTAGTAAGTTCTCGTGTTTTCCTTGTTCTTTCTTGCAGTAGCTTCAAGTTTTACATTAAGATCCTTAGTCTACCTTGAATTATATTAATACACGATGAGAGATAGGGATCTAGTTTCAGTCTTCTGCATGTGGATATCCAGTTTGCTTAGCACCATTTGTTAAAGAAGCCAACTTTGTTCCAAAGACAGATAAATAGATTGATTTGGGGGGCTTCTTTGTCAAAAATCAGATGGCTGTAGGTACATGCATTCATTTCTGTGTCTCCGAATGTGTCCTTTGATCTTTGTGTCTGTTTCTCTGCTGGTACTAAGCTGTCGTTGTTACCATGGCTCTATAATTTGAAGCCTAGTATTTGGATACCACCAGCATTGCTCTTTTTTTGCTCAAGATTGGTTATTTAAAGCCTTTTGTACTTCATGTGAATTTTAGGATTGATTTTTTTTCTATTTCTGTGAAGAACACCTTTGGGATTTTGATGGGTACTGTACTGAATTTGTAGATTACTTTGGACAGTATAGTATGGTCATTTTCATGATATTAATTCTGGGTAGTCTGTTTTAATAGTGATAAGGAGCATTCCCTTCTGTTTTGAGTTTTTCCAGTGATAACAATTTGCCAGTTGGCTTTTTTACAGCCATTATCTATAGCACATTCAAATAAAGAGAGGGCCCTAAGGTGCTGCATTATTATCTGTAGGCTGGCAGGAATTTGGTACCTGGCAGGGACTGAGAAGACCCAACTTCTCTTACTCCTGAGGGCATCCAGTCCTCCCTGTTGTCCTGCTGGAAGGTCTTTCCCAACCCCTATAGCCTCAGGTCCATGCCCACAGTAACCTGCACTCCAAAGATCAGCCGAAGACAGAGGGAACATAAAGAAGGTTGATAGGATCCCAGGCAGGATCCTTGAAAAAGCCCTGCTTGAAACTCCCTAACCACTCTGGACACCAACCTACTCCTGGCAGAAATGCAATTACTTACTCTAGAAAACATTTTAAAAAGACAATACATGTTTGGAAATGATGAAATCCACTTTTAAAGAAAATAATTCCTTAGCCAAAGAAACCATAAGGGAAATTAGGCAACATTTAGTACTGAACAAAAATTTAAAAATAGTACATGTTTTAAAATCTATACTTAACTAAAGCAGTGATTCTTTGAAAATGCATTATTTTAAATGCTTTTACTAGAAAATAAAAAAAACAAATATTGAATATGAATGAGCTAAGTCTCTGATCTAAGAGTCAGAAACAATAAAAAGGCATCATGTGCAGAGGAAAATACTAAAAATACAAGCAGAAACAAACCAAAGTTTAAAATAAACATATACCAGGAAGATTAAGAGAGACAGAAGCTAGAGACTTGTAAAATTGCCACATCCATGTCATACAGATAATCATGAGAAAAATAGGAAGGTGTAAGTAGCCAGGAGGAAGAGGAAAGGGGACAAGATTCTGCTGCCACCACATGAATAAAACAACCCTGCTGACCACTCACCCTCCAGGAGCCCTAGCTACCTCAGCAGACTGGTAGCTTCCCATTCAACAATTCACTCAGCCTCCATGTCCCAGCTAGGGTGTGAGTCCATGTGCTCCCACCTGCCAGGAGGATTCTGCAGTTGCTTACAGCATGCGGGGTCAGAACAGGATGCCTCAGCATCTACACGCAATGATGCCTAACAAAGCAAGGCATGGAGGCACTATGTGTGTGACTTTACTTCAATAAATTACAATGTCTGAAATAGACATATTTCCAGAAAAATGCCATTTTATAAAACTGACCCAAGGAGAAAAATCTTGAATAGCTTTTTACACATAAGGAAATTAAAGTCAGAAATCTCTCTGTAAACAAAACCAGTGAAAGTCAGAAATCTCTCTGTAAACAAAACCAGTTTTGTAGCAAAACTCACAAAGAGAAGAGGACTACAGAAGCCCATCCCAATTTATTTAAGATTTTCAGCAAAGCAGTGAGAAAATGATAGAAGGAGAGGAAACCATACTTGTGATTTGGGACTGCGCTCTCTCCAGGCCTGGCCACAAGCAGTAGAACCCTCCAATGTAACACTGGACAGCTACTAGTCCATGGGAAGAAGGAGTCCATATCGCAGAGTCTCTGGGACCTCTGCAAGTGAGATGACCTAATGTCACCACAGAAGGAGAGCAGTAGAGTACAGAAGAGACACACAGCTGGCCACACACAGAGAGCAGCAATAGATGACGTAGGACATAGGGATATATTGGGGGTCACTATATTACCCTGTGTTTCTTCAAGCATAGGTTTTAAAGTTTCTATATTTATAAAGTTAAAAAATAAAATATATTAAGATTAAATCTCTATAGAGTTCACTTTTCAAAAAAAAACAACTGTGTGCACAGCAACAAGAATTGCAAACACTGTAATGTGGAGAATGGAAACACGCATACTAACAGCAAAGTAGGTTTTTACTCTGTCAAAACAAACTTAAGAAAAGGTGAATAGATCTTTATGGAGAAAAGTGTAAGACTTTATTGGAAGACATGAAAGAAGAGCCAGGAAATACAAAGAAATAAAGTGTTCATGGTCTGGAAGACAGAAAGATAAAGACACTAATTCTCCCCACAGTAATCCAGAGGACACAAAAGAATTCCAATCAAAACTTCAATGGTTTGACAAGGCAGTTTTAAACTTAACATGCAATCACAAGGAGCCAAAAATACTTAAGAGACTGCTGTAGAAAAACAAGGCAGTGGAGGGCAGGCAACTATCCCTGAAAACACTGAGACTTGCAATAAGGTTATGAATTTAGGTACAGACTGTTACATCAGGACCCATGGAACTTTGCTCCCATGAGTGTACTCATCCCCCTGCCCTTGCTCACACAGAGCCACACTTGCAGGTTTGCAGGACAGAACAGACAATCCTGACAATGGCTACCAGTTCAGAAAGATGACAGTAGAGTTCCCACCACCATCACACCATCTACAGAAATCAATCTCAGGTGATTACAGACTTATGAAAAACTACTCAGAGAGAAAAGCAAAGGATACTATCATTGTCCTCTTGTGATAAGACTGATTAGCCTAAGAAAGAAAGAACCAGCCTTATTGGAACTCCTAGATAGACACAGAGCACCTGGAATGGCCTTCTGCTCGCTAGCAGGCCCTGAGATGACAAGGACCCAGCCAGGCTTCCCGTCCCAGAGCACAGAGGAGACTCTTGCAGCACAAACTAAACCCAAGGGAAAACAGCAATCTAAACATCAACCAACAGGGAAGACCCAAATGCCCAAGTGACTTGTGAAAAGATAATCACACTGTCACCAGAGCAATACAGATGTAAGCCAGAGACTGGATCATATCCCCAAGCAGTTCTTGACTCTGTCAGGACAGCAGTCTGACATCATGTGATACAACATTTGATGGAGAAGAGAGAGGAGGCCTGGGGTGGGGGGTGTCATCAACAAACAGTAGAAGGAGTATGATAAAAATGGAAGAGTAAAAAAGGAGGGGTGTAGAGGAAGAAGACAAGTTTGGAGGTGGGAGGAGAGGTGTTAAAGGAAAGGAGAAAGAGGAAGGGGATGAGTGGAGGAGGATAAAGAAGAAGGAAGAAGAAAAGGAGGAGGAGTGTGGAATAGGAAAGAGAGAAAGAAAAGGGAAGAGGGAGAGGAGACAGGAGGACGAAAAGGGGGGAAAAGGCAAGCAGAGAGGCCATGGTGTGCCCACTGAGCTATGGGCCACGCCCATCCTCTCAGAAACAAATGTATAGTACAGTGGCAGGTCACAGAACAATACAATAGCCTGATCAGTGACATAAAGTAAAAAACCATGCCAAACTCAACAAGGTACCATTTTAGGATATAAACTCACTAAAGTAAAACTAAGACAAGCAGAATTGATTGATACACTATTCAAGGCCAGTAAGGAAGGAAACAATCTGGGAAAAGGTGAGTAACAAGGCATCAGTGTCCCCCATCTTTAAACCATGACATAGGGATGTGTCATGTACAGCCTATGTACAGCACAGGCACAGCTTTGCAGCCACTCAACATTGTAGAGAACATACTACAGCCTAATGTCAACAAAGCAGCTTGCCCTGTGTCTGCTTCAGTCTCATAGGCTGCCTAGTCATGGAGAAGGAGCCATGTGACAAGATGCTGGCCCTGTTACCTGTCTCCCAGCTATATCCATGGTTGTCCCCTCTCAGGCCCTGCTTATCTTCTCCTGCACTAGCCTCCTTCCCACCAGCCAGTTCAGACTGCCTCCTCCTGTGGTTCCGGTGCATGCTGTGAGCCAATCTCAGACATCTCAGAAATAGGGCCCATAAGGCACAGGCTCACCTGCTTCCTCCCAATGACATACCATGATTCACCTAGAATTCCTGGTATTCAGCAGATGCCAGCAGGAGATGAGGCAGTAAAGATGGGAGGAGCCCAAGCAGCTGGCATTCTTGTAGGAAGGAAGGTCTGGGGCAGATAGTGTCTACACTAAGCTCTTGGCCTGGGCCTGGGGAGGCCCTACCGGATAGCAGCACTGTGAGGAGGAGGCAAGTAATGACATTTTCACGATCACATAGACCCATGTCCACCTTGCTGATCATGTGCCAGCACATGATGAGGTAAACAGATGCCAGCCATGCTTTGCTAGACAGGAGCAGGGCAGAGGTAGATTGTAAGCCTAGGTGCAGCCCTTGCCCAGCCCCACCCTCTGAACAGGGAGCCTAGGGAACTGGGCACTTGCCAAGAGCACAGGGGACCTGCAAGGTGTGGGCCCAGCCCCAGAAGTACTCAAGCCTGGAGCCCTGAGCTCACTGAAACCAAGCTCAACACACAGGCAGGCCACTGGCCAGCAACAGCTGCTAGACTTGAGACCAACGCCAGCCCAGGGAAGGGAGAAATAGAGAGCCCATGGAGGTTAAATTCAATTCCTTCCCCACTCTTGGAGCTCACAGAGCCTACCCTGAACAAAGGCCAGGCCAGAGGAAACTGCAGCCAAAATGTGGCCTTGTATGTGCCTGCAGGAGCAGGTGTCCTTCCACAGCCCAAGGTGATTGCTCAGGGAAGCTAGGGGGTAAAAGTCATGAGGCCCAAAGAAGATCCAGCCTTTGGTGGAAAGGGCACAGAGGTCAATGAAGTATAGCACAGAAACATCTAGAAGAGGATCCCAGCTCTGCACTGCTACATGCCCTGGGGAGCTGAAGGATGCAGCTCCTCCTCGGCATACTATGCAAAGCACCACCTGTTGCACAGCATTGTCAGGAAGACCAGTCAAGACCATCCATCATTCAGCCATGCCCCAAATGCCCCAGCACCACCCCTTCTTTCCTAGTGCCTGAATCATTCCCAACTCAGGCTCAGCAGCCAGCCACTGTGGTGCTAGTCACAGGCAACACTCCTCTGAGGAGCATGAAACTCAGAGGCTGCCCAGTGCCATCCACCAACCCCTGCCAGGAGCCAGCTGAAACAAACCAGATCTACCATTACCTAGGGGCTGACAGCCTTCTCTTGAAGGAGTCCCAAAAGGGTCATGGCTCCCCAAGCCACCTCCACTGGCAACAGATCCGTAAGACATCTTCTTATTAGAGTGGGCAGTCTCCTCACGGAGCTGGAAGAAACATGAAAACTGGGATAGAGAGAAGAGGAATATAAAGCTCAGATTCAGGATGCACAGGGCCTGGGCCCACCCCCGCCCCAAGTGCGTGGCTCTACTATACCATTCCTAAGGACACCCCAGGTTTCTCAGTAGCCTCAAGACAGTGACCACCCTCAAGATCTTTCTAGGTAATCCCTTCTTCTACCTGACCCTGTTTAGAGACAGGGACAAGTGCCTATGAGGTGCCCTGCTCTTCCCTACAGGAACCCAAGGAGAGGGTACCTGGATGTCTCTTAAAGACCACAGAAGTCCCATAGAGACAGCCCTTGCACTCCAGGCTCTCCATAAGTATCCACTATACAGCATGTTATACCAGGAGCTTTCACTGCCTGTCAAATCCCAGCCTGGATTTGTCTTCTAGAACCATGCCTGATGGCAGCAGGGCTGGGGCCAGGCTGCTTGAGGGAGTACACAAGGTGTCACCTTTCTATATATTTTTTTTTCTGGTCTGTAATAGGCTTGAACTCTGGACCTGGCCACTGTCCCTGGGCACTGTCTCTAGCTCAAGGCTAGCACTCAACCACTTTGAGACACAGCGCCATTTCCAGTTTCTGAGTGGTTAATTGGAGATAAGAGTCTCACGGACTTTCCTGCCCGGGCTGGCTTTGAACCAAATCCTCAGATCTCAGCCTTCTAAGTAGCTACAATTACAGGTGTGAGCCACTGGCGCCTAACTCAGTACCTGACACTTTCACTTATTGGTTATCACTGTACCAATTAAGCCACACCTCCAACCCCCACCCCCATGTGTTACATAGGCAGCTTGCATGAGCTACTGGATATACTTATGTCTCACCTTACAGATGAGGACAAAAGAAAAGGAACTACCTACCTCTTAGGAAAATAATAAGGAATAAAATGACATACGTTAGGCATTCAGAATGAGGCTGACAGTAAACACTCACCAAGCCACAATGCAGAGGGCAGCATTCTGCCCTCCCCAAACTTCTCTCACCAAGCCACAGGGGAAGGGGGAGACATAGCATCCTGCCCTCCCAAGCCTGTTCTTCCTGGGAAGCAATTTATGGACCTGGAGGGCAAGGAGGTCTCCAGCCCAGACATTTTCAAGGCCACACCCAAAAGCTCAGTTCCCTGGCACTGCTGTCCTATGCATCCCATGGGCCATCTACAACTCACACCAGTCCCCAATGTCATGGCTCACAGGGCCTGCCATCCAGGCTAGCCTCAATTCTGAAGACCCTACAGCAATGACTCTGTGCCTCTTGGCACAGAGTCCAAGCAGGAAGGTAGAATGGGCTGCAGAGAGGAATAAGCCCGAATGGCAAGGGACCCTGCATGTCTGTGCATGTCTGTGATAATGGCCCACAGAGCAGAGTAGCAGTGGGGGCTCCAAACTTTGGTTTCTGGCCCCCAAGACACTGCTGAGTATCAGAAGCCCCGGAGAGCTTTAGTTGATGTGGATTATATCTACAGTATTTACTCCAGTAGAAATTATGAGCAGAGATTGGTTTTCAACTGTTTATTAGAAGTAACAATGATAAACCTATTACTGTTAACAAAGAGAGCATTTGTATAGGAAATGACTACGTTTTCCAAAACAAAACCCCTCAGTGAGAACTGGAGCTTTCCTGTGCTTGGTTTAAAACCCCTGGCAGGAAACAGCATTTACACACCACTGTGTGCAAGCACTCACAAGAATTTACCTCCAGTCACAGCTTCATGCCCTGTGGATGTGCAGGGAGAGTTCCCTTGACTTGGCAGGGGTAAAAACAGGAAGAGAGGTAGGATGACTTGCCTGTAGTCACACAGCTTGACCGACAAACTCCAAAGCCCAGCCCCATTGTGTAACCCCAGAGGAATGAGCCCACATAACAAGACTCTTCAGCCCACAGATGCCCAAAGTCATGTTCCATCAAGTTCACAATCATTTAAGGAAGTTGGCTTAGACTGACTGAACCCAAAGAAAAGGCAAGGGGAGCCAGGGCTAAAGGTGGACCTGGGCAAAGTAGGCATAGTGAGCACTTGCCAATTAGGAGAGACTTCTTTAGGAGGACAAAATGTTTCACTAGCATAAAGGAGCCTGAGACAGCATGGAAAAGGGATTCAGGTGAAGTCCCTGAGGAGTACACAACGCAAAGCACAGGAAGGTCATCATGAAGTCCAGAGAAAGCAAGTTGTAAGCAGATGGGAATGATATGTGTGCGCACAATGCATGCACACACGAATGAGCCTATGTTATGTGTTACAAATGCATGCATACATTATATTCTGTGTGTTGCATATGTGTGCCTATGAGAGAACACACACTCGTGTGGGGAAACTTTGAATCTCATCTTACAAGTCAGTAAATGATACTTAAAAATAAGTAGCAAGGCTGGGAAGGTGGCTCAGTGGTAGAGTGCTTGCCTTGCATGCATGAGGCCCTGGGTTCGATTCCTCAGCACCACATAAGCAGAAAAAAAGCCAGAAGTAGCACTGTGGCTCAAGTGGTAGGGTGCTAGCCTTGAGCTGAAGAGCTGAGGGACAGTGCCCAGGCTCAGAGTTCAGCCCCCATGACCAAAAAAAAAAAAAAAAAAGTAGCGATACAACATTACTTCGGAAAAGATAGTATCAAAAGAATTACATGAATTAGAAGTAGCTGGCTCTGGGGAAGACAGAAGAGAGGCTTTAGGGATTACTGTTTTTCTTAATCTTGTAGAACTCATTTACTCTCTAAAAGATACATGTGTGTATTGAAGCTTAATTTGTAAGATTGCAATGAAACATTGCCTAGACAGATCTGTGTGGAAAGAAATGGGGGGAAGGGTGCCCTCAGCAGAGAAGAGCCAGATGGAAGTCACCTCCAATCTTTGGGAGGTGACTAGAGTCACACAGACCAATTTCAGGCTTGTGTTGGGGACCCACCATGCATCAGTCACTGTGGCAATACACCCAAGGCAGACTTTCCCTGCCTTAGGCACAGATGCCCAGGAAAGTCAGTGTGGATTATTGTGAGCAGGAGCTCTGACAGTGAGCTTACATAGAACTTGGTAGCGGCTGGAACCACAGACAAGAGGGTCTAGCAGATCTCCAGGGTGCAGCTTAAGGGGAAATCTAACACCAGGTACCTCTCACCTCTCACCAGACCAGGCAATTGGGCACTACTAGAACTAATAGGGTTGCACTGATAGTGGCCAGCAAGCAAAAAGCATAAATGCTTATGTTTGGGCAATCGATCCCCTCAGCTATTACTCTAGGAAATGACTATTGCAGGACACATCTGAAGGCTGCTGCACAAGCTGGCCAGTGAGGTACTCCTCACTGGCCATGGAAGCGCAAGAAGGGCTAACAAAACCAAAGGAGAGTAGCTGGCAGGGGAATAGAAGTTAACTCTCAGACTAGCTTGGAAACCAGGTGGGTGGTATTGAGACCGCCCCAAGGAAGAGAAGGAAAAGCAGCCATGTTCACAGGAAGACACCCTGAGGAGTTCCACAGGAGAAGCCAAGGGTGGTCTGCAGTGTGGGAGTCCTCTCTGTAGGAACAAAGATCACCCTGGGAGAAAAGCTACTATAGAGAAAAAAAACAAAACAAAACAAAACAAAAACAGCCCAGCAGTGTGAGCACAGGAGAACCAGACCAACATAGAGAAGGGAGTAAGAGACCAGGAAGTCCATGGCAGAGAGAGAAGTTACCAGCAGTCCCTGCAAGGACAGAGAGGTCACTGGGTTTTCTGATGGGAGAGACAACAAGAAACTACGGGGGAGGGGAGGGTGTCCATGAAAGATGGGTAGCCTCTTACAGAGAAGTTGGTTAGACCTGAGATGAACACCAAGTGGATGGCTGGAAAGGAACTGAGCAAGTTCCAGGATCTGGGAGAAGCAACAGCAGCCCAGAGGCCCTCTGGACTGCTAAGAAGGTAGGCAGGAGTCAATGCATAGCCATCACTACAACAGGCAGGAGGGAGGTCCCCAGATCCAGCCACTGAATAAGATTTGCATGGTAATGGAACAGGGAGGCTCTCCATGTTTGCTCAGCAGACTGAGGTGAAGGCTGGCTGCTGGCAAGAACTCAGGGGTCAGGTGGAGGCTGGTCTGAAAGTAGAAAATGGCAGTATATGTCCTCTGCCTGTGGCCAGCCACAAGTGGCCCTAGGTAGAACCCAGAATCCAAAGAGAGTGTGTCTGCCTCAACAACCCAAAACCCCAGCTGTCCCAAGTTCCTTGATCCATCTACTGCCTGCCATCCTCCTTGGGGCCCACAAGGTGACCCAGGACTACATACTGAACTGGCTCAGAGCCTGGCACCCCTCACTGCTTAAGTCAGCAGTACCAATAGTACCCTCACTGGCCTGCTCCAGCCTCAGCTCTTGCTGTGCCCCCTATTCTGCTTTCTGGAGATCCTGCTGCTGGCATTCAAGCTGCCTTCCACCTCCATGCCTGCGCTCAGGCTATGCCTTGTTTCCACCTGTTGTCTCTGCCAGTGCCTCTCTCAAATTCTTAACCAATGTCCCACCAGGCTGACCAGTGTTCCTGCCCCACCTGGGTACAGAACTCCAGGCTCAGCCCTCACCAGGCCAGAGCATCGCTGGGCTCCACAAAGTGCACATCCTGCTGCTAGGGGAGACACTGCCCATCGTGCTTTCTGCAAGAAGCTGGGCACCTTGACCTTCTAGAGTTGCCTTTCTCAGAGTCAACTCAAGTCCAGTGCCTTATCCACTTGCCCTGTCATGCCACCAACCTACAGGCCAAAAGACCAGGGCTTACCTCCTATCCCAAATCATGGACACTTCTATCCACCCTGAGTCATCCTTCTCTCTTTGCTGAGGGGGAGGACAGAGAACAGGATGACCACCCCTCACCAAGGACACAGCAGTGGTTGTCCTGAGGGCTGGGTACAGCTCATGTCACCAAGCACCCCCTATGAGGCCATTTATGGAGGAACCAGACAGCCTGATAATGCCATGCCTCACTCTGGGTCTCA